TTTTTCCTCTGCCTACATTTCAACAATTTGTTTACAAGCTTGTCTGCCAACTCCTCAATCAATCTGTCTTCCTGTTTCTTATTCCTTCTCTATTCTTTCATCTTTCTTTTATTTCTCTGTCGTTTTGTCATAACTTGTCAGTCATTTGATAAGGCTTTTTCTTCAGCACTTCCTGAAACTTCATAGGACAAGCAAATGAACAGAGAACTGGACAGCTAGGGGACTCACCTATTGAAAAAAACATTATAGAACATTTTCGTCATTGGATAACATGGATTGATTTCAGGCTATATGGGCGTGTTCGTTATGTCAGAAGCGACAACAGATCCTGGCAAAAACTGGCAAATGGTTCCAACCGGATGAAGCCCAACACAAGCTGAGCAACGCTGGGCAAGAAAGTCCTTGTCAAAGCATGAGGTTTCTTTTTTTCATTTTTGAAAGCTCCTTTCTTCACTTGACCAGACTTATTTCAACCCTTTCGCTTGGCTAAAGCACCTAGCATTTCCGCAACCTGTCCGTGAGCTTTTTGAAGGTTCCGAGGCCCGATATCTCAGTCATTATCAATTAATTTAGGGATGTGGTATTTTACTGACGGGGCGGGAGGGTAGTGCAGTGCAGGGAAAAACTGCGCGGCACTGTGCAGGCTATTCGGCCAGATGAGGTTCCTTTTACCTCATGCCTAGCCCATTTCATTGAACTTGAGTAATATTCCCTTGCAAGAACTGATTACTCTGGAAGACTAAACTCTAAGTTAGATCATCCATCTAAAAGAAATTCGTTATGACCAGTTAAGCTCAAAAATAGGCGAAGATTCAAAACATTGTGGTTTCCTATCGTAAAACGATAGGGAGAGGGTAAGGCAGGCAGCTAGGGAAGAGAGGACGTGACGACCAAGAGGAGGCGCTCTGATACGAGGAAACCTCAAGGGCAGAGGGTGTATGTGGGCCCCACCCAGCAGGTCATCGCGGAATGTGCCGCTGTACTAGTGTTTTTGTGTCTACTATGCAAAGCCAAAGCGGCAGGCATTCTTTAGGAGCTTCCAGTCACTCACTCCATTCTGGATCTCTTTTTCCTGCTTCAGAACTAAGGTGCCGTGGCAGCGAAATTCGCTTACTACGCGCGTGGGCCGGGGATAAAAGCTCAGATCGACTCTAACGCAGGCCAACCAAGCCTTCTTCATTCCGGGGACGGTAAACTGGTACCACAATCATCTGAGAGAATTAGAACATTGGAAACACCCCGCAGTTCATTGCTTGGGCCACATCCCATTTATCGAGTCACTGCGATTCTGAATAGAAGAAAAATGCGTGCTCCTTCCAAAAGGGAGGGGCAAAAGGTGAGGTAATAAAGCTCACTGAAAACTTTTTTTCAATTTTCTTGGCACATGAATCTCATTTCTTCCAATTACGTCTTCGGGGTCGACCATTCTCCCTTTTCGTGAGCGCTATCAGACATTATATAAAATACAAAGACGCTCTCCAGCAGTAACGCGTCCATCCTTTTAAGGTGCCATGCACCGTGTCGTTTTCATCTTGTAGCCATATACGCGCTTTGAACTGTGTATCCAGTCTGCACAATGCCGTGCCGACGACCGTTTTCGTCAGTGCGCTTTACGATTCAAACATTTGGCTGCTCATAATGACACCTCAGAAGTAAAGAGCGATGTGATCAACCTGAGTGAGCCCATTATAGCTAGGTCTGCTACAATGTCAGGGCACGTTTTGCCGCTTTGAGAAGCTATTTCAGGGACTACACCATCGCCCCCCAGTTTCCACCGCGCTACGAACCCCTTCCCCACCTTCCCTATACCATCCTTCCTACTGCCCTCCTTATCTGGCCACCCTCTTCCCAAGGTTCCTACCATTTTTCTCGGAGTTTCAGACAATTCATCAGTCTTCTCTCAAGATTTTGCTGGCGAGCGGAGGGGTAGATAGCACCGAACAAAACGAGAAGTACCGCGAACAATCGGACAACGCGGCATAGTCCTTTCAAAGACGAGGACGGCTCCGTTCCCCCCCCCCACTGGAGTTCTCCAAGGTGGTAGCGCCCGTGAAACATGAAAAATCAACTATCAAAAAAGTTTTCCTCAGAGCAACCTCTCTGGTTCAATCATCTTCAGCACAGAGTTAAAAACCTTTTAATACTTTCCACAAGTAATCAAAATTCTGAATGTGGTCCAGTACTACATAGTGCTCCACAAATGTACCTGTACCTTCTCAAGAAACGACCTAGCGTTCAGGGCCAAGAGCCTTTTCTTGCAACAGCGTTTGATAGATAACATTTGTGGTTATTGTAGCCCGACTCCATCGTTCATACAATCGTCGCAACCTGCAGTTTCACAACCTGCACCAGTTTCAATGCCTGTTCCTCAACAACGGGTTGAGACAGCTAAGGTATGCATTGTTCAGTTATCTCTTTTTTGATTCTTCTCGAACCTCTCAAGCTCAAGACCCCACTGAGAGGGCACAAAATAATTGAAAAGTTGTGTGAATGAATGCCCTACTCAAGCCCGTTGTTAGGTCTTTCTGTCAAAAAAAGGGGCTCAATCTGTTGCATGTAGCTACACTCCTTATCCCTGAGACAGAGTAGGCGTGACATTTGAGCTGGCATAAAATGGGTTACTCGAGGGAAATTTCACTCTGAGAAAACTGTCATCTTGTTCAGGGTTGTACAAGACATGAACACAGTAGCGTACTTTTAGTTGAAGTACGCAGCCACGCCTACCACATCTCAGAAATTTCGAGTGCATATACACGCGTTCTGCGTTCTCCTGTTTTGCTTGCAGTATTCGCCAGCTCACATTGGAGTTCAGTACGGCAGTAGATCACAGCTATAAGGCTCAATCTTAGACATATCTCGCTTACAGGGTTCAGTTCTTCATAGTAAACGCTCACATCTTCCGCGCAACCGCCGTCAGGTTACATTGCCGTGACATACATGCTAGTCATTTATGTAGCATAAAATTCATATTTTTAATTATATCCCGTACTTTCTAATAGATGCCCAGACCTTTAAAGCGGGCAGTTCATCACGCTTGTGTATGCCCCGCCCCTTTGGCGTTCCTATCTGTGGTGTCATCTTACGAACACGCTTACTCGAATAACATTACCATGACACACGTTGCCCATCATTTGTGAATCACGAACCCTACACTCCTTATCCCTGAGACAGAGTAGGCGTGACATCGCTGTGATATCTCTGTGGCTCTCTGGGTATCGAGAAGTATAAAAAAATTTTAAGGTGTCGCAGTCGCAGCAACCGTTGCCCCCTCAACAGCAGACCGTGGCAAGCTCATCGCAGTCGACCTCAAGACCAGGTACGCAGTCGACTTCAAGATCAGGTACATTTGCTCAGACAATACTCGTTGACACTGCTAGTATGTACCAAACGTCAGAATGGGTTAGGTTTTGCGTCCATTCCCAACTTTGGAAACAACATAATGCTGAGATGGCTATTGATCTTCCTCAGATGAGTTCTAGGGAATGGCAGGTTCCATAGGGACCTCTGAATCAACAATTCACTAGAATTGTGTGTGCCCAGGTAAAGACGCGCGCGGCTGCGTCGCGTGATGAACTTTCCCGTAGAAATTTATACGCTTTTAGATACAGACCAATCCCATTGCCACGGGCTATCAAGACATTGAGATTGGATAGCTCGTGGTCGTTACAGGGTTAAAAGAACTAGTCTTTTCAGTCGCGCGCACACCAATACAAAACTGTACTTCAGGGATTTTAGCTTGGACAGCTTACGGTATACCCCAAACATTTTGTTTTCAGTTCAAGAAGCTCCTCGTTCTGGTGTGAATGGACCATCATCTGACAGGCAACAGGAGAGATTTGGTGAAGTACGAAGGCAGAACACGTTACAGCGACAGCCAAGTCTGACCGATGTATGCCGTATCCATTCCTACGAGCTTATTTTTTTCCTTTACCTACCTTTTTCTACCTGAAGACGTGCAAAGGGGTTTTATCTTGTTCAAAGCGTTACCCTCAGGAACTCGAGGGCTCTTGAAAGCACTTGCAGGTCAAAACGGTCCCGTTTAGGAGAACACTTCTTTCCTCGGCTCTTTGCAAGATGTTGAGGTGATTGAAGAGGCAGGGCGTAGATGGGCTCATTTTTACAGCAAAAGTTGGAAAAGCCAAAGTGCAGCGCTCGTCTGAATCTTCCTCACTGAGTTACTTAAAACAGTCGGACATCGTGAAAGATAAACAAAAATATATTGGCTCAGTTCGCAGACCATCGATGAAAAGTACATAATAGTACTGTATATCAAACTACATTACACTTTCTTTTGAATCAAACAAATGACAATACTGCAGGGGTAGTTATTTGCTCTTGAGCGTTAGTAGCTCCACTTTCGTTTTAAACTCCGCCTCCCAGTGAGTGACGAGTTAACAAAAGGGACTCGCAATTACTGCAATATAATAAGGATTAGTAAATTTTAAGAGTGAGAGAAAGTAGCTGATGAATCTAGCCGCTCGTCTAACTCATTGGCTTTTTAATGGATCAATAGGTTAGGCTGCAAAATCGATAAAATCATTTTGCGGATTTTCGGCAACTTCTCTAAATTTTTTACGGGGCATTATACACCTTCACCTTCATTCTTGAGCATCACGACATTACGATGCACAGTCGTGATCCTTGTAAACGATAGGGCATGTGACGGGGCGTAGACTGGAAGAGTCTGTGACAAGAAAATCGTAATTCGCCGCGTCAGTAGGCGTCGCGTGCGACGTCGCGCCTGCCAGTGACGGCATTTTTGGATTGGTCGAGAATAGGCAACATATGACCAAAAACAGCCGAAACAGTCTACGGTATCCTAGTATACATGAAATCCGATGCTCCAATCGGGAGGTCATGCAGATTAAGAAAACGTCGCGCCCATCGCGACGAAGCGGCAGATTACGAGTCTATTGTCCGTCTCTCGGATCGGAGCGCTGCATGTAACCTATGATGCCACTACGCTCCGCCACAAGTCGTGGGAAAGCTTGTCCTGGCTGTGCTTCAACTCACCCTCCTTTCACAAGCCCTATTGTTTGCTGGTATATTACTTCACTTATGCTACCGTAATATATGTTTTCAAGTTGAAGACTGAAGGTATAAACAGAAAAACAAAGTCATAAGGAATGTGGACGAATTGCCATGCTTTTCACTACTGTTTTGATTAAAAGCCTAACAAGACTTGTTTTTATACCATTCCCTTGCCGCAGGCGTGTTATATACACTTCTTGGAAATGTGTCACAGAAAATGAGGGTTTCGATGGTGGAAGATTCATTGCTGTCCAGTGCTGGCAAACAATCGATCTTGCCTCTGCTTTCTCTCTTCTTATTCATACGTTCCAAAACTTTAGTGATAGAGGAAATCCGAATTGTACTGTATGTCAAATAAATACATCGTAGATAAAGGCAGAGCTCACGATCACTTGTAACCATCTTAGCTCAGAGGTAGTGTGGGCTGCAGCAAACAACCCTTCATGAGTTTCACGTCAGAAAGTGGTAAGGTAGCGGTTGGAAAGCGCAAGGTAGCTCATGTGACTCCGCCCAGTTGATAGATGTCCTATCTGTGCTCTCCTTCGTTCGCATGCTCTCTCGCTTCTTTCTCTGACCCCTCTCCCGATATCCACACTGTTTGTTTACCTTTTGCATGGCACTAGAAGGGCATTATTTAGAGACTTCTCAACGGTTTCTTTCCGTTTTTACTTCAAGACAATGTCAATTAGAACATACAATTATGTTTGCCGACCCCGCTAACCATAAACTTTTCGCTGGCTCATTGCGAAG